GAGCTGAAGGCAGCCGGGACTCTGGGGGTTGTTGTTGTTACTTTCCTGTCATGTATTCTCCCATATTACTGTGTCCTTATTACAGATCAAAGCGCCTCCATTATGACCTTTGTTATATGTTTGTTCTATATGAATTCCTTATTCAACCCCCTGATCTATGCTCTTTTCTACCCCTGGTTTAGAAGGTCTGTTAAATGTATCGTTACACTTGAAATACTAAAACATGGCTCCTGTCATGCCAATGTACACATGTAATTCGGAAGTGGAAATATGAAAAGACTGAAGCCTTGTTTGGTTGAGATATGTGTCAAAATATTCAATATTACTATAATGTCATTTGCTAAATTTAGTGGTGAACAGGGTGTTTCCCAGAAGTAAAATCCAATAATCTACACAAATCCAAAGCAGTGTGTGTATGGTGTCCTCATTAGGGCCACCTGCCACCCCTTTGTCCCCATCACCAATAACAACAATCTTGAGCCTATCAAGATGCAAATATGAGAAAGTATTCTGTTTTTAAGCCAGATTTCTGCTGTAGCATAAAGACCCTTGGCCACAAATTGTACGCTTATTTTAGAGCTATCGCACATTTCCAAGAATCACCACTCAAACTGCCTAAGTTGTTGAATCATTGACCAATCTACAATCTGTTCCCTTCAACAAGAGCTAATTCTGCTTCTAAAAGGTTAGGATTGGTATGAAGCCACCACTGCCTGCCCATATTCTGTGCCTCAGTATTCTAAAGGCGTTTTAGGATTTTCGGATTAAACATTGTTGAACATTAATTTGTCTTCTTTAAAACGCATTTAATTTGTAACTGACGCTGGCTCAGACATAAATTCCCACTAGCAGTAGGCAAAGTCTCAGACTGGGAAGCTCCATTCCACCATTTCCTCACAACTTGAGCAGGAATGATGTTGTCTGTGTGACCATTTCTCTATTCAATTGAATTCAATTTTATTTATATAGCGCCACATCACAACAACAGTTGTCTCACAGCTTTCCAAACAGAGCAGGTCAGACCCTACTCTGAAGTTAATTACAGAAACCCAACAATTCCCACCATGAGCAAGCACTAGGCGACACAGGCAAGGAAAAACTTCCTTTTAACAGGCAAAAACCTAGAGCAGAACCATGGCGTGATTCTATTGTTTACCGGGCAAGTAGTATTTCTCATGTCCTCCAAGTTTCTACATTTTGGTGATAAACACCGGGGATGATGTGGGGTATTTTTAGAAATATCTGAGGGTAGTTCAATGATAGAGGATGTGAGTGTGTGTGGGCATGTGTCTCTACTGTATGTTCCTCGGTGATGGACTCATGATCCGTCCAAGGTGTACGCACCTCTTTGCCATTGTGGGCTGGGATAGGCTCCAGTTAGCCCATGCAACCGTACAAGAATAAAGCGGTATGGATGATGGAGGGATTTGATGTTTTGCTTTCATAACTGAGCACATTGCACACAGAACTGGAGGACTCGAGGCCTCGTCATGGTTACATTCCTGCAGGCTGTTTCTCTTTCCCCTCCCCCTGTCTCGTCACAGGTACTAGGGAAAGCTGGTGTCAATCTCCCTTGGTTGATCCTCATCAACCATGGACCAATCAGCATCCAGGGAGGCCTTATTTAAGCAGCCCAGCTGGGGAGAGAGGGGGGTCGAACTGGCGTTGTTACATGACGCATGTCTTGTTGAATTTTGTGTGGAGGTTGTGGTGGGAGTTAGAGGGTGAGTTAAGTTTGGGGTACCCTGTACATTTCCTCACGTAGGTGTCTTCCCTGTTAGATACACTAGGTAAGTAGGAGGGGTGCCACCCACGTAAAGTTTTGGTGGAAACTTTGGTTAGATTAGATAAGCAGGGTTTTTGTTTTCTTTTGTTTCTTTAGCACAGACGGTAGTTAGGCCCTGTTTTGTTTTGTTATTTTCTTTGATTTGGCACCACCTAACCGCCCCTTTATCCCCCACAGTTTGTGTGCGCCTCCTGAGATTTTCGTTACCAATAAATCCCTCTTTTTTTCAACATTCACCTGGACTCTGTCAAATTGTTGTGGCTGTCGTGTTACTCTCCTCCTCGCAAAAAGGGGGGGGGCCGTAACAGCGGCTAACAAAACTAATCTAGTCCAAAAAGCCAAGCATGTCATGGATTGTGTTTTTAGTGGGCTGGTAGGCTCTGATTCTATTTCAGATTCTCCACCAGAGGGCGTCGGGAGGTGGCACCCAGGCTGGCGGAGGACACAGGTTTTCCTGATCAGTCTCATCAGGAGTGCCTTGAAGGGAGCTGGCTCTCTGTCATTCCTCGCCGGATCGTTAGTTTCCATATGGGCAACTTCTCGAGATTCCTTGAAAGCAGACAACCGTCCAGAGACGTTCCTGAGAACAACATCCTTGTGTTTCCCTGTGATTAACCGCTTCTGGGGGTGGAACGGTTCACAAAATCCACGGTTCGGTTCGATTCACGGTTTCGTGGTCACGGTTTTTCAGTTCGGTTTGGTACGGTATATGTTGATTGTTAGGAAAATCTATTATGTCTTGTATAGTCGGGTTAAAACTGAAATAAAAAAGCAGTCTGACATTTGATACATCATTGTGACAGTCTGAGGTTAAAAGTAGGTGAGATTCTGGCACTGCCAGAGAGGACACAGTGCTAGCTCCAACATGTGTACTTGTTTCCTACTGGTGGTTGGCTTTGGGCGCAGTAGCGCCCCCTTCTGCTCTGGAGTGAACATGCTTCCCTTTGAGAAAAAGGAGCAGCATGAACCGAACGCAACACATGCCAATGGAACCGAAACAGTTGAACCGAACTGTTCGGACGGTTTTGATAAACTGTTCCATCCCTACACCGCACTCACCCCTCCCTGGCGGACCCTCTTCACTCCCAAGTAAGAGGAATCCGTGTTATCAAGTTTTATTCAAAGATTCCAAATCTCACAGCCATATTCCTTCCCGAGGCTGCCGTAAACACGGACTCACTTCCTAGACAGGCCTTGTCACAATAAACAACTCTATAAAGAATTTCAGATTCCCGAGTCTGAAAAAAAGAGATTTTATCTCAAGGGACTTCCTGGTAAAATAAAGGTAAAATAAAAAAATAAATAAAAAGATCTGCTCTGTTTCCACAAAGATTTATTGCTCTGTGATCTACAAAGGTCATTTGACTGAGTTACTCAGAATCCATTAGTTTCTCTGTATGTGGACAAACAACATTGGCAAAGCCACGACAAAGCAGTGCCTCACTTCCTGAGGGCTGCAGGCCGACCTTCTGGTCTCATTCTGCCGAGCCACAACTGAAAGCCTTCTGGTGTTCGCCATCCCTTTGAGGTCTGCTGAGTGCACTGTGGCCCAAAGACTATATCAGGTCACCAGAAAAGGACAGACAAAGTGATGGGCTGTCAACTTCCCTCGCCAGGTGTTTTACCAGAGCCATCATAAAAGATCCCCTTCATCCCAACCGTCACGTTTGGACCATGCTGCCCTCAGGAAAAAGGTTAAAAACAGCTTCTTCCCCGGGGAAGTCAGAACTCTGAATGCAAGAGACCATTGAAACTGCTCAGGATCCATCTCAGTCATGCTGCAATACTTAACATGTACAATACAAAGTACTCACCCTACCTTTGCTACTCTTTATAACATCTTTGCACATACCCCCCCCTCCATGGTTCGTTGTACTTAATACCCCAATAAATACATCCACCATTTTTTATTTTATCTCCACTGTGGTGTGTTGACTCCACACCTTTCTACTTGCACTTCCTGGCAAACTTTGGTCTACATGCCACTATCCAATGACAATAAAAAAGTCTTGAATCTTCAATTATTTTCTTTATGATAATATAGTGTGTACTTTTAATCTTAAGATGACATATCTATAAACCGTTTCCGGTAACGTCCATCCCAAGTGAGGAGTAAAACTTTCAATGGCCAAACATCATGAGGGAGGGACTCTGTTTCTAAGCAACACGCAGGATTAGAGGAGAACAAAAATATATAAGATATGAGATGTGTAAAGTAAACATCTTTATGATGGATGGAGCTGAACTCTGCTTTCCAGAACTCCTGAACAGCTC